AGAGTGCGCGATGCAGAGGCGCAACTTGTGCTCGACAGACCGAGACATACATGAGCCCGTCTCACGCGAATCACGCCGCCGCCCGCTTGGAGAGGGGGAGGTGGAGGGATTGCGAGGGCGCCATGGGGGGGGGGTGTGTGGGCTTGCGGCAGTTGTGACCTCTGGCCGTTGATGGTCACCGTCACTGTCACTGTCGCCGTCGCCGTCGCCGTCACCTGTCCAACGACGTCTGCGTCAATAGTGGGTGACGAGTATACGCCTACCTACATGCACCGGATTCTGGGGCCCTGCCATGCCATGGGCCCTGTCCCTCATGTTGCACTGCAACCCTGGCAAATGCCGCCTTTTGCGGGCGCCCGAGCGCAAGCACCTCCCTACCTACAGTGGTATCGTGGAGCCGGCAGAGCCCCTAATAGTCGACGCGTAGGTATTGCTGGCACGCACTGGCGAGCACCCATCCAGCGTACCTGCGCTCACCCTGGCCTAGCCAAGTCGGCGCTGTACGACCTTGGGCGGGCGCATTGCTGCTTTCACTCACTGCTCCTGGGCCTGTCTGCCCTGCGCGCTTCATAGGCCTCGCTTCATGCCCTCCATTTAACTAATACATGGGTGGGTGGGTGGGTGTGTGATTGATTGCTGGATTGCTGGATTGCTGGATTGGATGGATCGAGTTAATTGAGCGAGTGACTGATTGAGGGATTGACTGGACTGGTTGGTTTGGTTGCCAGCCCAAGAGAAAGAGAGAGAGAGAGAGGCAGATCTGCCGTGTTAGGCCCTTTACGCGAGCTCCTTCCCATTCCCTCTGCTGCCATCCCACTCACCCACTCACTCCCCATTCGCACATCCTTCTCTACTCTACTCTATTACTCTACTGTATATATCCACTATTGCCATACTACTATTCCGCCACTGGCCACTCACCATCTCCCCTCCACCATCCCTATCCCATCTCTATCTACATGCCCATCACGCACTGCCTCTCCTCTATCCGACCCTTCCCCCGTTAGCCTCATCTCATCTCATCTCGACTCGCCTCGCCTCGCCTCACCTCACCTCACCTCGCCCGTCTGCTCATCTGCCCATCTGCCCATCTGCCCATCTGCCCACCTCCCTCTCCCTCTCCCATCCTAACCCATCGCATGAATCACGTCGCCACTCGCCCGCAACAGGCCGCCCCCAAGAATCTGCGCCCCCGTCGCGATCGACACCCCCGCTAAACAAGCACCCTGGCTCGACTCTGCCGCCATGGCTACCAGGTTTGGCAACTACCACGGTGCGTGCCACCAAACTTTGCCCTGAACGGTGCCTTGTCCCCTCCTGCCTTTACTCAAACCGGCCGTCCACTCGGCACAGGTTGCCTCGACTAGCCGTTGCTGACTCCGCGCGCAGATTATAGTGGCGTCTCCAAACAACCTGCCTCTGCCACTCATGTCGTCGACCCACGACTACAAATCCTGGATACGCTGATCCCGGCCATCTTTACCGCCAAGCACTGTTTGGATGTGGGCGCAAATGCAGGCAGTGTCAGTGTTCAACTCGGTAAGTGGCTGCCAAGGATACCCCTGCTCATCTCCTCGAACCGACTATGAACAACCATGTGCTTGATATTGATCAAACTTGCAGCCTTTGACTTTGATGCTGCCTCCGTGACCGGCGTCGACATAGATCCCAGCCTAGTTGGCCAGGCCGAGAAGCTTTACGCTCTGCGCGCCTCCCGCTGTCGGCCCCCTACCGCTAGTTCGCCGCCCGTTGTCGACTACTTTCCCCTCTCGGCCTTGCTCACCCATGGCTATCGCATAGAGCCCCAAGGCAAGGCTGTACCCAATCCGTCGCCTTGGTTGGCTAACATGCCGAGCGTCAACTTTGTCGCCGCGGATTGGGCCCTGCCCACCGGCCAGCATCTCCAAGACACTTATGATGTGATCCTAGCTTTATCCGTCATCAAATGGATCCATCTCGAGCATGGCGACCAAGGCCTGGTCGCCTTCTTCGCCAAATGCAGCAACTCGCTTGCACCTGGCGGATATCTTGTTATCGAGCTCCAGCCGTGGGATTCGTATCTCAAGGCCGTTCGCCCCAATCACGCTCCACACTTTCAGCAATCCTTGAACAACCTAAAGTACCGTCCAGAAGAGTCGTTTGACAAACTTCTCCGCGATCAAGACTTACACCTCTACGCTTCATCAGACGCCCTTCCTCGGCGCATCAATGTCTACCAAAAAGCGTGACGATATTATCCACTGGTAGATTTGAAATATCCGCCCTCTGAATGTGGCCCTTATAACGCTACCGAACGTTTTGGTATTACCCAAACGTCCATTACTATTAGAATTACTATCGGTAGGGATCCCAAAGCCAGCTGCACGTCGTTTCACACTGCCCGGGCAATTAAACTCTAGTAGTTAGTCGTAGTTTGCCATGATTTTGTTCCAGAAGACGATCTGACCGGACTACTCGACCTCTTTGTTCCTTGGCTTGTTCCTGGACACTGTGGCGCACGCATTTCCACAAATGGTTATTTCCGTTTTATGAATTATGGGATTTTCGTGTGTGGGTTGAGGATCTCAACTGGCTCGTATCCAAGATCCTCATTGACAAAACTCCGCCCCACAGTTCACGATTTGTGTCCCGGTCTATCCCCTGTCTGCCGATCTTTCTCCTCACTAATACAGGTTCTTAAACTCAACCATCGTACGATCATCAGCACAATGTGAGTAAAGATCGACCCACGAGTAGAAATTGCAGCAGCTTTCTTGCCATGTTGCTGGCACCATGACAGGTTCTGTATCATCATAGTTGGGTGTTGACTGTGACTGCGACTATTGAAGGTGTGATGTTTGATTGGCCACGCCGCGGATGACCAAGTAGCTACTACACTACATATCGTGTCGCGATTTGGCGCTAGCAGTTGTCACAAGGTCACTGTGCAAGAGCTAGCGATAGCGGTTTCTCGGAGGTTTTGACATGTGCCAAATAGTATGTATGTCCCTACTCATCGAACCACTCCCAGTGGGATAATGTGCTGCACTAGGCAAAGGTTCAAACTTTGCGCCATTTCGGCCAAGTTCGAATCCGAGCGTGGTTTTGATGCTACCCAATGTACTTAGCCTCACCGGCACCCAGGTTGTTTTCTGCAATGTCAATTAGATTATGGTTTTGTGACGTGGTCGGAGATGAGCCGGCAAGATGTTAGTCTGTCGAGCATTTGGGCGAGGGAGCAACCGGTAATTACCGTGTCATGACAGTCAGATGCACGTGTAGGTTGCAGATTGTTCAGAAGAGACACCACGTGGTTTGCAGGGAAACCCCCCCCCCCTTTGTGGACTACCAAGCATCGGTTATGTTGATGGATAGTAAGTGAGGGCAGCACTTGAATGTGGAGTGATGTTCGGGCAGTTGGTGAATCAGTGTAGATCTGTCTGTAGTCATGGATAGTAGAGTATTTGTCAAGAATGCAGTATCAAACATGTGACTGTGCCAGTTACGTGGCCTCATTTCATTCCACATCAAAATGGGGCCGAGAAGATGTCGTTTTCACATCGGAACCTGCAGCCTTGATCTTTTCTGGATGGGACATGGGCACTGCAGTGGATATCTTGTCGTGTAGCCGAGATGAATGATTGTCCGCTGGAAGCCAAGCAAGATACAGGAGCGACGTACATACACACACATATGTTGTTTCATTTTCCAAGTTGGCATTCTATTGATAGCAGTCCACGTCTTGGCTCCATTGTACGACAGCCGGAACGATGTGCAGAAGCTACATAGCATATTACTTACAGCCAGTGCATGCTACCGATAAAACAGAGGCTTGCCTTCTACCCCGAGTATGGTACTGAGGATGGACAACACAGCTGGACTGATACCGAGTACACAGACTGGACACAGTACTGCCAATCATGATGAATGCCCTCTGGTAGAGAAACGAGGCGCTGAATCAAATATGAACAACACACCATCGGATAGCTGCATGATGGAAGACAACGTGCAGGCGTTTGGGCGACTGGGGCACGCCATGCTGCCCAATACAGCGGGCAATACAGGAGGGCGTAAGGTGGCTTTTGATTGACAACAAATGCACTGCACTGCACTGTACGCATCGCCAGATTTGCAGGGCGGCGGTGGCATGCCGGAAGTGTAGCCACGAGCGGCAGCCGTCTTCGGCGCGAGCCTCTCGATTACGTATGTATGCGGGGGAGGGGAAAAAAGCCCAATGATACCGAGCGCCTACGGCCTTGCAAGGGCATATGCAAAACATATCTCTTCTGCTGTGAAACCTTGCAACACACCCGTCCGTCCTTGCCACCAAATCTTGCATCGAGCCTCGCCCGAAAACACAAACCTCCCAAATCTCAGCCAGTGTGCTGGAGTCAGCAACGGCTGCCCGCAGCTGAGAAGAACAAGAAGAAGAAAAGCAAAATAGGATCACACCGTTTAGCCGCGTTTGCCCCCCCCTCTCCGAACAACGTCCCTCAGGCGCGAGAGATGAAGGAGAAAATTTTCGACGCTTTCTTGTCGGCGCAGCAGCGGGGCTGAGAAATATCGCCTCTCCAAGGCCGCCTCACCTCTGCACTCCAGCTGGCGCCTATGTTCCTTGAGCAATTACTTGTCTCGCCCTTCTCCTACCAGACTCGTTCGCTGGGACCGACGCAACAATGACTCTTGGGACTGGCTGACGCCCACGTCGCGTAGTGCAATGGCAATGACGCGTAGCTGCTGGGCCATCTGCGGTGGCAAGCTGTCTCAGCTTGGATGACCATCAGCTACCTGGCAACTAGACCAAGCCAAGCACTACCAGACAGAGTATCTACTATATAAACTCTGGACCGCTCCTCTCTGCGTGCCTACGTAGCAGGTTCCAAGTTCCAAAAGAGCACGCCAGACAAGTCGTCCAACCAAAGGTGAGCAAACCGCATTGAAAAGCCGAATGCGTCGTTGGCACGCGTGGGATGCACGCAGCCACAGGTGCTGAGGCGCAAACGAACGGGCGCCGTATAAGGGGCGCGCTTATGACATGGAACGGTTTCGTGCTGACCGTGCGATAGGCTTCCTTGACGGCTTTCCGCGCGGGCGCCTCTCACGATCCCTCTTGCAGATCTCTGGTCCATTTGACATGCTTGCCCAAGCCAAACATAAGCCGGATCCTTGCTTTTGCCAAAGCGAATGACCTTCCGAGCTTGGTCACACAGAGCTAGACAACACTCAACCACTATTACTCGGCAACCCACCGGAACTGCCCACGTCTACTACCGATCCATAGCCCTTGATAGCCGTATATACGCCATCCCATCCCATCCCAGGCCCGCCAGACGGCCAAACCCGCAAACCACCGAGAACGATGCCGCCTGCGAGCTCCTCCTTCACGCCTCTCAATGTCTCGGACGATATTGTGCCAGAATGGCTGGGGTCCTTCACCTTGGCAGCGCCTCCAAATACCGACCTCTGGAGAAAGCCTCCCTCCGGTGATGTTTCAACGGCCCCGATACTTTACACAGCGCTGCGCAATCCTTTTATAGCCGCTGAGGTCACCGTGTCTGCTGATTGGGAGTTGGAATGGGATCAAGGGGGGTTGGTGATATTCGCGGGCACACCGCCAGGACAAATGGCGGCGAGACAAGCACAACAAGCAGCAGCAGCGGCGACGGCGATGGCGGCGACAACAACATCACCACGACCACCAACAACAACAACAACAAGCACCACCACCATCGAGGTACCCAATATTGCAGACATTTTGCTAGAAGACGACGACGCGACACAAAGACCTGCGACGTCATCACTGCCTCAGACGTCGATAGCCAGCAACCTTGGAAACGTGGAACCACCCTCCCCCAACCCGCCTGGTACCGGACCCCAGCCAGTCGTAGTCGACAGCCGCGGACCCCCACCCGCCTACCCAACAGTGCAGCAGCCGCCCGCCTCAAAATGGGTCAAAGTTGGCCTCGAATTCTGCAACAACGCCTGCCACGCGACGTCGGTAGTAGCAAACTCTGACGGCGCCGACTGGTCGCTTTCGGCGCTCCCAGCGCACCAGCAGCGGCGCTACGACTTGCGGGTCAAGATTGAGCGGATTGGCTATGCGCTTTGGGTATGGTACGAGGATGATTTGGTCGGCTGGAAGAAGTTGAGGGAGGTGACGTGGTTTTTCTGGGGCGTCGAGGATAAGGCGGTCAGGGTGGGCGTGTATGCTAGTCGTCCGGCTAACTTTGGCCTCAGCATGTTTGATGCGAGGAGAGCGGCGAATGGGGAGGCAGGAGATGATAGGAGGTTTCAGGCGAGGAATTTGTGTGTTGATTTTGAGGGGTTGGAGATTTTTTAAACAAGCATATGGTTGTTTGACGGCATTTTTCTTTCTTTCTTTCTTTCTTTCTTTCTTTCTTTCTTCTCTTCCTATTCTTATGCTTTCGATTCCACACACACACTTTTTGATTTCTTTTTCTATTCGGAGGGAAAGGTAAAGCCAGCACAAGAATTCTTTGAAGTGACACGATGGTTTAGTTTTTTTTCTTTACATTTCCGTTTCTGTTCATCCTCTTCTTCTTCTCCTTCTTCTTTTTGCTGTACAAATTTAATGGCACTACGATGATACCATGTTATTTATATACTATAGTTAACTATATATTTATTATAAGTACAATACGAGGTAGATTTGTCCATTCTTTCCCCCCCTTCCCTTCTTCTTCTTCTCTCTGTCCTCGTTACCATGGAAAATAAACATGTAATTGCAACGCACAACTCTGTGAAAACTAATGTTTATTCGGGAACACGTCCATCAACCATATCTTTTAGGCACACTGTAATAGAATCAGGAGGGGAAAAAAAACCCTCCCCCCCCCAAACACACACACACCTCTTCTAACTCGATAAGAATCTGACATTCATATCTGCAAATGATTAATAACCCAGATGTCAAGACCAGCCCTTGCGTTATTCCCGTTTCAATAAGAACATCTTGTCCAACTGTAGTCGTTTTAATTCTGCTAGCAACACTGAACACACCTGTACATTCAAAGATTCAGACCCGTATATTATCATACGCTCATAATTGATTCTCTCTCCCCACTGAATGAAATGAATAGGAAACTTTGGCTAGGGAGGGAAGTGACGGTATAGTCAACTTGAGATGATATATCGTTGACTTGTGATGAGTAAGAGATTGAGGGGGGCACATACCTGTTAGAGTAATTTGTCGGGTGCAGGTGTATTATTTTGTTTCGAGTGGTGAAAGATTGATTTTGGGACGGATGATGGGGCGTTTCCCAGAATTTTAGAAAGGGCTACTTATCCATATACACAAGTTGCATTTAAAACCACATGTGAAAGCATCAACAGCAATAGATAACTTGAATGTCATACAAATTACGATTACCTTCATATCTAAAAAAGATGAAAAAAAAATGAAAAATCTAACTACCTTCCAACACCAGCTAGCTGTCCAGACACCCCAGGCGCCCGCATAAAGGACATAACAGCGAAGCGTCAATCAAAACAAAACAAGGTATATACATGCGAAGAAAAAAAAGTAGGTTTCCATACGACATTTGCTCGTTCGTTTTTGCGTTTTGTTCATCAACTCTTCGCCTCGGCAATGATGTAAGGGCCGATAACACAGACAGCCGTCCAAATCACCATTGTGCTCTCGACAGTCAATGTCCATGGGATCATGTAAAAGGGAACCTCGGCCAACCGGACGTAGATGGCATACACAGCGACGTAGAAGAAGTGGTAGACTAGCATCCAGGGATGGGTAATCAGACCGGCCAACATGCCACTTGGCTCTGCGACGCTGGCACCACCGCGTAAAAAGTACTTGAAGCATCCCTTCTTGATGAGTTCGAGGTAGGTGTTGTCTGCGGCGAAGAGCGAGTAGAGGGCCATTGCGAGGATGTTGATGACACTAGTGCCGTTCTTGCGTTGCCAGTGGAATTTTCCAAGGGCGGCGAGAACAGCCTCGGAGTCTTCGAGCGAGGGGACGTTGGCGGGGGACAGGAGAGAGGAAAGGAGGACTACGTCGTTGAAGGCGACCGTCATACCACCGCCGGTAAGCGGATGGCGCATGTTCATTGCGTCGCCGAGGATGATGAGGCCGGCCTGCTTCTGTGTGGAAGGAGGCAAGAAGGAGTTTGGCATGCTACGGAGCTTGCCTTGTTCGACTGCTTTGCGGAATGCAGGCTGTACGCATTCGGGAAGGCGGGGCAGTGCTACGTTAAGCATATGGTTCTTGATGCCGCCGTTCTTGGGCGACGCCGAAGGCAAGTTCTCTGGTACATCGATAAGAATGCGCGTCTCGTGAGTGCCGATTTGGTAGATGAGGATCGGAGGTGCATCTGTGAGAATGACATGGCCGTGGTTCGGGACAGGAAGTTGGGCGTCAATCATCTCTAGACCCCAGAACTTGCTGCGGACCTGGGGCTGGTGAGGAATGTACTCCTTGCGGAACTTTGATGCATAGCCGTCGGCGACCAGCGTCACAGCACCAAAGAAGTAGTCTTGTTCGCCTTCGGTTTGACACGATACACCGACGACCTGGTTGGTGTGGTCGCTCTTGACTAGTGACGTGACCGTGGACTCAACAACGGTGACATTGGGCGTCGCCTTTGCCTTGGCACGGAGCTTGGAGATGAAGCGGCCGTGGTGAAAAGAGCGACCCTCGGGTGCTTTTGAGGGCGCGCTTTTAATCAGGTTGTCGGGGTAGGGGATATGAGCCTGCTCTTTGTGGTACATGACCTGGTAGCCATAACAGGGAATGGCATCAATGTCATCGAGGCAATCTATAGTATTCTGTCAGCATTTCAGTTCCTCATCGATACAGACAGCGCGTACCCCTCATGCCCAATTTCTCAAGGGCATTTACACCGCCAGGTTGCAGCAGCTCGCCGACAATGCGGTCAGGCTCCTTGAGACTTTTTTCCAGCAATATGACACTCCTGCCCTGCTTGCCGAATGCGACGGCAGCAGCACAGCCCAGGATGCCAGCACCGACAATGACGACATCTGCCTCGTGGTGGATGCGCCGCCTTTGTTCGCGATAGTCTGTTGTGTCTATGGCTTGGGCCGTGGGCGCAATTTGTGTCGACGAGCCTCTTTTGCGCAACTGTGGAGAATGTGTGGCGCTGACACCAGGCGGTAGCTCGGTGAGCTTGGTGCCAGAATACATGGTAAGCATGGCTGCGATTATTATGGGCCGGATCGAGGGCCCAGCTGAAAGCGTTGATGGTGGGTGAGGGCGATGGAGGCTGCGATAACAAAACAAGCAAGCAAGCAAGAGTGTTGGGCTCGAGGCAGGTGATTTGGACAGCTAAAAGCAACAAGACCAGGTAGAATAGGGCTAGAGAATGTAGGGTAAAAGTCGTAAATAATTAGAGGTAGGCAAACACGAGATGCGAGGGCACAAAAGCTGTCAGGGTCCGCCAGCTTTTACTCGTCACTGTCTTAATTCCCGAGCGTGGCGAATCCACGATCTTAAGCGTCGATGTCGACGGCAGGGATCGCCTTCACCGCCTCCTTCTTTCTGCCAGGGGTTGCGGTTCCTGAGCGCTCATTGGCCAGCATGGCGTGAACATGGTCTCATCCGCAAAACTGACTTGGCCTCACACCATCATCGTCTTTTTAGCAGCCAGACGGTGAGTGGCTAAGGAAATAGGACTGGCAGCCTTATCAACCACTCCTGCACAACATTCTTGCATATGTATGTATGTATGTATGTATGTATGTATGTATGTATGTATGTATGTATGTATGCATGGCAGAATTTTTATGTTACGAGGCTGCTACAGTAAATCCCGTGAAGCAATTCATCCGATTAGTTATCGATACTAATACACATTACCAACAAAAACCAACCATGACTTGTACAAGTCAGCCTATAATAAATATCTAATACACAATCCGAAGAGAATAGTAAACAGAAACCTCCCATGTCGTGTCGTGATAAATAAAACCCTTTTGCCTAGAGAGCAGACATAATCACTCGTCACCGTATCTTTTTTTTTCGCCTGTCCGATCCCTAAATTCCGATTTTCCCAACCGCATGAATATCCAGAGTTCAACCGTCCCAGTTGAAGAAGAAAAGAAAAGTATCCTGGGTCCACCCGAGGCCCATGTTGTCTTGCAGCCATAGCTCCGGCCATGTCTTGCTATTGACACTGGCGTGCATATCCATCAATCTCAAAACGCAGTCCCGGGTTGCCCAGAAGCCATAGGCGACGCTAAGGGCGTGTCGACTTCGATAATGACCGATCGTCTGTCCAGAGTGTGTTGCATCGTCTCAACAGACTGCGCCAGCCCAATATGCGAGTTGCGGTAGTAAGCCTCATAGAATTCGCTTAACCGCGAGTCCGTCGCCCCTGACTGCCCAGGCGCAACAAGACCCGATTGTCGAGCTTGTGATTCGCTCTCGCTGATGATAGACCCCAGGATCGACGTATGCCCAGACATGGCCGTCGAAGAATCAGATAGTGGCCGTTCCCTCGCCAATCTTTCCGCCTCTTGTCCTTGCATATTACTATGCTCCGATGTGTGGTACACTACCCCAAATGCGCTCAGCCCCGTGTGGCTGTTGCTGCTGCTTGCATCGCTTCCTCCTTCACAGTAGGGAGAGTATGCGCGCGGTTGGAGTCGGGCGGGGACAGCAGACGACGGATATTGTGCATGCTCAGAGTCTTTGGTCAAAAGTTAGGGAAGGCCCAGTATAGTATGTAACTACCAAATTGCTAAAAATACAAAAAAATCAACGCACCAGGGAGCTGGCTACCTACTCGGCTCGTGGACCTGCACGCGAGGGTATCCATTCTCAGGCGATGGCGATCGGGATTCTTTCCTCAGTGCATGGCCCGGGAGCGTAGGCAGCTGAGTGGTAGGAGGGTTGTAAGGTGATTGACCCGAAGACGAGTCATATGCCATGGTGTCGGAAAGTCGAAAGTTTTCATTATCGTGCTCGTAAGAACCAAACGTCGTAGATGAGGGATCGCGAGAGGGAGCACCCGGTGACGGAGGGACTTGAAGCGACATGTCGACCATGTGGTTGTGTCTTCCGCTGAGTTCAGCCTCGGAGGGACGGAGCTTGATGGCTGGAGGTGGAGGACGGCGAGTGGCATCGTTGGCGGCACTGAGGTTCAGACTGAGCGTGCTGTTGTTGGTAGACTGGCCCTTCATGAGTGGCGAGCTGGCGCTGCCTCCAACCAGAGTGCTGTTGCTCATAGCTCCCGGGTGATTGCTAATGACTGATCCTGCCCTCGATGTAGGGCGCGACTGAGCAACACCAGCATAAAAACCTGCCTCGATGGCCCGAATACCAAACAAATCTCCCTCATCCTTCTCGCGTTGGTTTAGCTCGACGGTGTCCTCCTTGGGTCCAGCTTCAAGCTCGGCCTTGGTCGCCTTCTTTAACCTATTTCCATCGTAAGCTACTGCAAGGTGTTACTTTGTTCGCTCGACGTACCTCTGTCGGTTGTATAGCACCTTGATGAATCCAGCAATGATGGTAATGAGAAGCAAGCTCAGAAATACGACACTGGCATGGATCAGTCTTGTTTCGTTGGCCAGTGTGTACGGCAACTTACACATATTTGTATGCCAAGTCAAGGTTTCCAAACCAGTTCGCCATTGTCGTTAGGGTAGGGGACAGCGGTGTTCAAAACAGGGTATCGTAGGAAAAGCAGTCTTCTGGGGTTGGCGATGTACGGATGACAATCTCCAAGATAGTGTTTCAGTGACTCGGGGCTCGATATGTGGTGACGATCCAGATTAGGAGAGGATGTGCGTTCTTTCCTGATTAGTTGTAGGGTTATTGTCTTGCCGTCAAACGAGTGGTGGGCGAAGATGCAGAATATGTGCAGTCGGAATACGCAGTATAGACAATATAGTAGCTGTGAGAAACGAAAGGACGTGTGATGGAAGCACACCAGTAATGATCGTATTGGGGAAGCAAACTCCTGAAAAACCAAAGCTAGACGAAGGAGTGAGGAGGGAAGGGGGGATAAATGAGGGTAGTAGGTCCAGAAGGGATCGCTGTCTTCCTGGGCGATTTGGCGCCATCCGTACCTACATCCGGCGTGGGCACACATGCTTTGGGATCTAAAAGCGGAGTAAGGAACTCGGGTGTTAATGCCTGCCCGCAAAAGAGACCACCAGTCGCCAATCACCGACAAGGTGCTGCCAGGAAAAGAAGTTTCACGCATATGCGCTAAGGATATTGGCTGTGAAGTAGCCGTTACCCATGCAAAGGCAGCCTTGCTCCGAAGTCAGTGCTCCTAAGGATCCGGCAGCGCTCTTGATCGATGGCAATCTGGGCGCTCGTAAAATCCCACCTATTGGTGGTCCAGCCGGCCCAAGTTCCACCTGCACTGTCCGGGCGACTGCTTGGTTGCTTTCCTTTACATAGAGCCTTATGGTGCTGAAGCGCCGGGAATGGCGCAACAAACGGCTGCGGGCCCAACAGAAGGATTCCACTGGCGAGCAGCCCAACATAGGCATCTGGTCCGAGCCTTAGAAGGGGGATGGAGGCAAAGCGATAAAGGCGTGATAATTGGCATGCTGGGCCCGTCGTGTGTCGAGTAAAAATGCCGACAAGCACCAGAATAGCGGACGGTCAGGCCGCCGAGGCTGCCCCGCTTCTTTTAGTACTTGGCAGGAGAAGCCACCCGAAAGTGGCTAAGGCACGGGCGCCAAAGGCCCCTGCGGCTTTCTTTTTGCAGCTCCATCACACCAACACCCATGCGAAAGCCAATGCCCATGTCCATACTCGCCAGCCATCACATGCTTTTCTCAATCCTTTCTCTCGTCTCTTTCACCCTCTTGCACTCTCGCCACAGCTCTTTGCTCGTCTCCCGAAGTCGCCCCGCTACTGGCTGCAACCCCCCGGCTCGCTCGGCAATCATAGTGAGACTCCCGACTCTGGCCTGCGGCCTACTACCACTACTACTAGGTGGACATACCATGTATACAGAGTGCAAGGTGCCTTTGACCGTTGGCCCTTTCCCCATCCCACGCCATGGTTTGTGGATGCACATGATGCAAAGGGCGCAAAGCCACAGCCCTGTAACCAGCCCAAATCGCTAGAGGCGTGTCGCACTACGATGCAACAGGCTCAGGGCCGCCCAAACGAAACACCTATAACTCGCTTCTGACTCTGCGCCCTCAGTCGTGCAGTGCAGACTGTGCCGCTTTCGACGGCGACGGCAAAACGACGACCCACTGCGCAGCCATTCCGGGCGAGGGCCGCAGTTCCCCCCCATGCCGCCGCCAGTACCTCAACAGCATCGTCATGACAAGTTCCTTTATCGCACAGCCAACGTGCTAGTATATGCCAACAGCCGTCATCTGCTACCGCAGGTTTCAGCTGTTACGTCCCATGTCTACTCGAATGACACCGTGACCGCTGTGACAGGGGATACGATTACTTGTTTACATAAGTACTCGTACAGACAAGCTCGCTCCCCTGGTCAAGCTCGGCTACTGGCGCTTCTGCGGTCATGTTCCCCTATAATAACCTCGTACTTGTTCGCGCCAGCAACAGCCGTGGCCCGGTAGCGTGGCCCGAAGCCTCACACCGTGATTTCTTTCCCTAACGCCACAACGTGGCCAATGCGATGCAGTGAGATTACAGGTCGTAATGCCATGGACTCGAAGGGCTCCTCTACTGAACCTACACCGCGCCGCCTTTCGCTATTATTGTCTCCGACAAACTATCAATAGACGAGAGTTTAGCGCAGCTCCCACCAAGGAAACCGATATTAATCTATTTTCCTAGCGAAGATCTAGTAGCAACTCTCTTTCGGCGGCATTACTGGTAAGTTCGCTACAATAAACCTAACATGACTCTTGTTTGGAAAAAAAATTCCTGCGCAGGACTGGTTCAACAGTTGGCTTATTGGAGTTACGTTGTTCGAAAAGCAGCGTGTTGTGTGTACTCACAAACAAAGAAGTGGCCCTGTGCCCTGCGGCTTTCCTCTATGGGCAATCAGCAAAACCACCAAGATCGACAGGGTCGTCAGCAGCTTGTCTCTTCCGCTCCTAGTTACACTTTTCTTATCTGAACGTCATGATCTCGCCTTATGACAAGCAACTGCAAATCATTCAACAACGCCGTGAAAGTATTCTTGCATACATGCGAGGCCTGTGCCTTCTCCGTGGTTACCGACAGCACACACACCCATATAGGCTCGTCGAGTACGAAGCCAAATTACTGCATTGGCTACACACACAATCAAGGCATTTTTAACGCTGGTCAGTATGCAGATGAACGCTGCCAGACAACGCTCTCATCACTTGTAGATTGAAGACATTGCTGGTCCCTTGTACTGCAGCTGAGGCTCTTGGCAGGCACACGCGATGTATGCCGTCATAGGGCTTGCAACTAGCGGCTGATATCGACCGCACGCCACATCCGCCCCCGCATTAAGTCAGCTCCGCAACCCTATCATGGCTTCAGTCAACAGTGCACCGAGGAAGCCAAAGATCATCAAGATTGAGCCGCTGGAAAACAAGGACGCAAAGTGGGCTACATTTATCAAGTGCGTAGCTGAATCATCGTCCTTGGCGCACTGGCATTGAATTTTTTCCCCTAGGACTACCTACGCTGACCCCGAAGGCGTTGAGCGCACTTGGGAGTCTGGCAAGCGTCTTACGCGACCCAAGGGTACGGATATTGACGGCGTCGGTGTTGTAGCCATTCTTCAAGATCCTGCAAAGCCAAACGACGAACCGCGCATCATCCTCCAAAAGCAATGGCGCCCGCCAGTCAATGCCACCGTCATCGAGGTCCCAGCCGGTCTCATGGATCCTGGTGAGAGTGCTGAAATGTGTGCGCTTCGCGAGCTCAAAGAAGAGACGGGCTACATTGGCGAGCTAATCGAAGACCAAACCGTAAGTCATGTTTCTCGCGTACTGACGGGAAGACATGCTGATCTTCTACTCCCTTCACTAGTTTCGAATCAGCCCTGTCATGTTCAACGGTAAGTCGTATATAACCATATCATCCAATTCGATACACTGGCATCCTTGCTATGGTGACCGCCTCAAAGCCCAACATGAGGGCTATCATACAAGGGAGCCATTCGTGCCGTTCCGCGTCCCCACTAACTGAACACCTACACAGATCCGGGTTTTTGCAATACCAACTTGAGAATGATCCACGTTACTGTCGATTTGTCTCGTCCAGAAAATCGCAATCCACAGCCGAGCCTTGAGGATAACGAATTCATTGAGACATTCTCGGTCCCACTGAAAAGCCTATGGGACGAGTGCATTGCTCTCGAGAAAGAAGGATACGCCATCGATGCAAGAGTCGGCACTTTGGCAGAAGGAATAGAGTTTGCGAAGCGATGGAAGTTCACATAGTTCAATACACAGCTAGGATCTGGAGTGGAATGAACATTTAGTCCTCGCAGGGGTACCGTGGTTCAACTTTTGATATGACATGTGTCTAGCGGAAGACCCCGCCTGTATATATGCATGTGATACTGCACGTCCGAAACGCTAGACCCTGGGCAGCTAATGGTGAGGTGCTCATCTCCCAGTGCCAGCTCAGATACGCTTGACTGGTCGTACAATACTGATCAGTTATTTATAGATCTACAAAAGATCCACTGTCATTTCCAAGCACACTATCTTTTTCCAGCTGAGTTCTGCATCATATCCACGGCTGTGTTCCTGGCAGAATGCCTTCCTCCGTTAAGTTGTAGCACTGCACCACAGCGCTCAAAGGCGCGTGCATCAACTCTAGGGGATTTTTACACAATGCGCATCTCATGCTTCATGATCATTGATTTCAAGCTCAAGATACGGGTTGCAGCACTCCTAACTCCACATCAACCCTAAGCAGTACGCTTGAGTAACCTCATGATGGATCCGCCTTCCTCTATTGCCCCATCCGCCTTGTCCCTCCTATCCATACGCCTCGCTCTTGCTATACTGTCCATCAGCGTCTTGACCACCTCCTCTACTTCACTCCGCTCGTTCGCAGTGATTTCAAAATGCCTCGAGCCCTGACTACTCGCCCACTGCTCGGCCATGTTTTTATCCACTTGACGTTTCGCAGCATCCTCACCAACGATGATGTCGCGCTTGTTGCCTACAAGCACGCATCCAAAGCGCTTTTTAGCCACATGACCATCTGCCTCTTTAGGACTAATATCATCTCGACATGTCCAAGCATAAACATAGAACTCATGGATCACGCTGGTAAAAGACAAGTTGTAAGTAATGTCGTAGAGCAGGACTATACCGTCTGCGGTGCGGAGATATTCGTCGATTATCTTGCGGTACGAGGGCGCGATGGGTCCCGTGAGATCCAAGTCTATAAAAGAGAGAGTGAAAGAAGTACCCAAGTGCGAGATTTGGCGTGATAAGGGCGTGGACGAGACGGCGGAGTGGGAGATGAAATGTGTGCCTTGAAGGAACTGACATGGTCAAGTCAAAAAACAATTATCAAGAGACAGGAAGGTTGCGCGGGCAATTGGTTATGTGCTGTGATGTTGAACAAGAAAAGGGTGATGGTTTACCATGTCAATGAAACATGACTTGCCCACTTGAGACTGGCCGAGCACGACGATGCCGAGCGACTCGGACTTTTTCGAACGTAACATCATGGAAAGAAATGGAAATGGTAGGGATATGAGATGGCCGAGGCCGTTGTTGGCATGAGAATGACCGATGTTATAGTGATTGCCAAGGTGCAGAAGGAGGCGCTAAGCTATATTGGAAATATCATTAATAATTCTACAAATACAACTATAAGAGGTCCTTTTCTAGGCTTTTGTACTAGACAGAACAAAGGCATGTTTGTGTCGATTTGGTGTGTATTCTGGCTAATTATGAGTAGTGGGTTGAGATGCTCTGACAATGGTTGTGGACCCAAGTGTCAGCATTAGGTAAAAAAGGTAGATGTCCAAGACTAGGCAGTATATGAATACAACGTATACATTGTAACAGATTGATAGAATTCTTGTGTATTAATTTCTTGTCGGTGTATTGAGAAATCATGCGATAGTGAAGACAAAGTAATAAATAGAGGTCTGGATGGATACCAAAAGGTCAATCAGCTAGCCCAGCATTTTCAATCAACATCATTGATTTAAGAAATTCATCCTTATACAATCATTCGTTTAGGCACTATGAAGACATTTACCCTAGTTACGATTACAGCACTTGCTGCTCTCGTCTCTGCGCACCCAGCACAGCCTGCGGTACTCGACTCAAGACAAGTACCCGTACCATCGCCAGAGGGATGTGGGCCATGCCATCACCCCAACCTACCTCTACGAGGAGGATGTTCGGCCGGAACGTCTGAAAAGATCTTTGTAAGTACTACTCTGTGGGGAAAAGAAGAAGGCATTTGTGAGATCGGGCATGGGCGATGAGACGGCATCGTGGGTAGGTGTCCACACGCTAACTTTACATTTTCAGGGCTCTTGCAAAGCGTGCTGCAGGAACTAGGCCCTTTCTAGGCGCAATATGAGGGTGGTGTGGATGGGGGTTACGGGATGGATGGTGGTTGTCAAGATGGGAGAGATATGTTTGATAGGGCTAAGTTGTATATGAGAGGACAAAAAAAGATGGAGAAAATCAATAAATTTCCATCACCCACAGGTATTTCGACTATGCCTCCAAGTCCCAATTATGTATGAATTGGACGTGTTTGTTTCCTCGGAGGGGTGGCCCAGGGATTGGCCGAGTGCCAATGGAGAATAGTACTGGGCGTAGCAAGCTGCGACGACGCGAAACAGTAGGGGCGGTCTTATTGTGAGGCTTTCCGCGTCCAACATGACGGAGCCTGCCACACGCCCCGGGCGCGCATCTGGCTACTATTCTCTTGTTCGCTCGAGCACTGTCGCCACTCACTTACATACCACTACATTGGCTCGGGGGTACAAGCGGTGAAGAACCTAACATCGCGAATCCGAGGCGCAAATCATTCATTGACTTTGCATCCACCATCAACACACACGCACTACAAGACAAGCAACACAGCGCAGGCGCCGTCTTTTGCATACAACAGTGCTGTAAGCAACCGGGTCGCGTAACCTCGTGAACGACATATCAAGAAAGAATATTGCCAGACGTATACAGCGACACGTCGCACACCTACCAGCCCTATGACGTACCGCGACCATAATGCCTATGCATACCCGCCCACCCGGCCACGGCCCCTCATCGAGCAGATACCAGACTATCGCGAAGACCTCGATGTATCAGACGAGGAAGACGGATTCTACCAACGCGAAGACGACTTCTTCCTCCCACCCAAGATCCAGGTCGCCATCCTCCGCACAACCGACCGCATCCCCCGGAGAATCAAGCGCCACTGCGCCGCATACATTTTCGTCTTTTTCCTGGCCATTGCCAGTTGGTGGACATACTTTGGCCCGCGTCGCGCCGCATTTGTCCAGGAACTGCATCTGATGGACCACACGCCGACCATGAGCTATGGCAGCCAGGTGCGCCCCGAGTTCAAAGGCATGATCCAGGTCACGGACATGGACGAGCAGCATTTGCCCAAGGAGAACAAGCGCCTCATCTTCATCGGCGATGTTCACGGCTGCCGCGCAGAGCTCGAGCATCTCCTCAACAAGGTCGCCTTTGACCAGTCGCGCGACCACATCGTCATGACGGGCGACATGATCGCAAAGGGCCCGGACTCGGCTGGCGTCATCAAACTCGCCCGCAAATACGGCGCCTCATGCGTACGCGGAAACTGGGAAGACAAACTGCTCCTCTCCATCGCCGAAGCCCAAGACCGCCACGTCCTCGTCATGCCCACCGCCGCCGACTCCGACGAGTCAAAACTCGAATTCCTCGGCGCAGCCACCGCATCCCAGGGCAACGCCAAGTTGCGCAAACTCGCAAAGCAATTCTCCAAAAAGGATATCGACTACCTCCGCCAATGCCCCGTTATCCTCCGCGTCGGCACCGTACCCACCCTCGGTACCCTCGTCACCGTGCACGCAGGCCTCGTCCCAGACATCCCGCTCGAGCACCAAGACCCCTTCCACGTCATGAACATGCGCAGCATCGACCTCAAAACACGGATTCCATCGTCCAAGCACAATGGTACTCCCTGGGAAAAATTCTGGAACCATCGCCAGCAGAAAATGAAGGCGAAGGAGCGCACGACGGCGGTTTATGGACATAATAGGAAGAAGGGGCTTAATGTGCATGAGTACTCGTACGGGCTGGATACCGGGTGTGTTAGTGGGGGAAAGCTTACGGCGTTAGTGGTGGATGGGGAGGGGAAAGCAGAGATTGTGCAGGTTAAGTGTGGGGTTGAGGGAGGATATGGGAGTGAGTAGGATGGTAATGTTTTACAAGTTTTTTTTCCCGCATTTATGGCGTTTTTTTTGTTTGTCTGTTGTTGTACGATAATTTGGATAGATGAGTGGGGTGAGTTATATGGGCATTTTTCACGCAAGCGATGCAGGCCGACTTCATTTGTTGGTGTTGAGTAATTTTGGATAGCATAGGGTGTAGACTGTGTGTTGCTGTCAAGGCGAGATAGAAATATATTGCTCAGAAATGTGACTTGTAGGTTAGATATAGTAAGGCAGTTGACATATTAAGATACTACAACTGATTTATTTTTATCTGCTCGTTTCGTGCAAAAGTCTACATCTCCTTGATCAAAGTCTGCTCGTAAAGTCGATATGTATATGTGGCTTTGTAAAGAAGAGATTACAGCATGCCCTGCCATTGCTACTATTGCTATTTTCACATCGAGTATCTATCTCTTTTTTTCCATGTAGAGTGACAGTTGTGCAAGATTTAATTAGAAGTACCGCGAGGATTGGAATAGATGTTGAGATGTTCTGCATTTATAATAGATACGGATTCTGGGTTCTGCGTAAGAGTAGGTAAGTAGTCAAGTAATCGAGTAGTCAAGCGACGGTATTTCAAAGGAGAAGCTAATAACTCTGTGCGGAAAAAAATCTTGCTTCCAATCGTTTCATCATCATCAGTTGCGTATCGCGATTAGCTCAAGTAGTGTTCCCTGGATGAATCTATACAATTCAAGTGTCTCAAATAATCAGTGATCTGGGTTTTCAGAGATATGTCAAGATCTTCAGGATCTCTCGCTTTACCTTGTTGGAGTTGTGTAGCGTATGTTGGGATATTGATTGTTCTAGGTAACGGTAAGAGCAGCTAGCATGTATGGTGGTAGGCTGCCGGAACGTTCAGTAGTTGTAATAGTGGGTAGCTAGAGCAACCGGATTAGCCAGATCAGCCGGCAGCCACAGCAGTAGATGGTCGGAGTGGTATCTTAGTAGGTGTGGGTTCTTGCTATATGGACATAGCTGATTGAACATATTGAGAAGGGAGTCGAGAATTTAATTGGGGGGGAGTCGTTATTATATTTCATAGCTGAGGTTCAATGAAAGATAGATTCGAGTGTGATGAGGTGAGCTTTTTTGTTGGAGCGAGAGGAAATGCAGGATAGGACAAGGCAATAGAAGAATTTATGCATATAGATACAATGGAGATCATAAAGAAGATAGCTGTTGTCGTTGGCTTTATGTCCTATTTCAAAACTTACCTTGGAGCATGGAGTTGGTTCAAGCTCGGGACTGACAGTGGTAAGGTACGGCCCAATTCGCCTATATGTGGGGATGATATATCCAATACTGGAAAGTCAGAGTACTACCTGTCATTGTTTTCCAAGAAACACTAAGCTGATTTGTTTATCATAAACCAAGTCTAAGTCATCCAAGTAGTTTAGGTAACTTTCAGAAACAGCATTGTATTCCTATAGCCACAGCACTGTCTAGTTAGCTGTTATATCTTGGCGGAGGCGTAAGTATTTATATATTCTGTAGCGAAAGCTTGAATATGGAAAAGATAAATACATGATACATGAAAAGACAGAGATACGTATAGACAATCATACATGCAGATAGATCTTCACGTAGATAGCTGAATTTGATTTAGTCCATGGACTTGAAGAGCATCAGTAAGTACCACTGCATGAAAAACAGTGAGTGTTTCTCCTCTCTCTGCGGTACAGATCCAGGAGACAAAGCAAGTAGTTTCGAGGGGTTCATGACAGCACTGCAAAACTTTAGAATGACCTGGGTCGACTTGTGTGATACATCCGTAAATCTATTGGAAATAAGGAGAGACGGCGGGCATAAGAGGTGCATGTATTTCCTTACACCTCTCCTTGAGGAAGGAGGGAAAAGAACAGTGAAAGGAAACATGTCTATGAAATAGAGTTTTCGAGTTAAAGAACACAATGGATACACACAGGCAAATTATTATGAGGATTTGTAAAAGTATACACAAAACTACAGGTCATTCCTACGCAAATGAAGAGCTGTATTGAGAGAAGTGTGTCCTGCAACACTGAGAAGCCGGGTTGCGTGCAAAGCAACTGAAGGGACTCTCCTGGAACTCTGTCAGCACGGAACGAGCTCAATCACATGATCAAGTATCTCTCCTTCATCACAAGATCTGTAGTTCTTGGGAAAATTGTCTCCATAAAACTTGTGCTGTTTTTCTAATTCCTACCCGCAAACGTCTTTTTGTAGACGAGTCAGTAAAGAAACCTACACAGCACCACGTCCACCCACAACCCAGCAATGTCGGAGAAAAGAACAAGCTCAGGTTCCAAACAATATCACCTCCGATTGATGCGCGTATTTTCAGTAAGACGTCAGTGACTGATACTTCACACTCAAACACACAGTCATCTTCATGCAATCAAGCGTTCTTCTTGTCTTGTCCCGTCTCTCCATTTCACCTCCACAATATACGCACCGCTTGCGCCATATACTTACTGCTGTACACCAGACATACGCCATTCTCCATCCTGCCACTATGTACCCTGCCAAACCCTCATTGCTGTTACACGCTACACAAAGTCTAAGTCGCTCCACAAACGCGGTTCGGCACAAACCAGATTACCCAGGATTCACCCATTTTGCTTTTTCCTCCAAACGACACATGGAGCTTATGTACCTAGCTGTAACTAGGCAACACGGGTCCACTGATGTGAGCGCGGGAACAAGACCCGGCAGAGTAGTGAAAGCCGTGATCTGTATCGTGGATTCTATGTTATGCAATAGATAATAAGGGGATACTTTGGGGTGTCGGCTAGAATTCGGAGGAGCGGCCTGGAGGTATGGGAAGGTGGTAAGAAGGGGGGGTCGAATGTTGTACTACGTAGTATTTTCAATAAAGTTTGATGGGAGCGGCAATCATGTGCCGTGGTTTTTTTGGAAGATCTGCGCTTTGGGGTGACTTGGCGTACATACAGGCGGGACAACTTGGGGTTGCATGAGAGTGGAGACTGGGAAAATAATGGAAGAGGTTCAATTGGATTGGATGAATATTGGTGTGGTTGTACACATGGTATTAATGTAGAGTAATATTAAAATATGGGATAGTTTGCACTCGACCATCTAAGTTTTCACCTTGTCACGCTGACTTAGAGACTGGATCCGGCTTGAGTTGCTCCAGGGAACTGTTGTTGCAGAGCGTCCCAAAGCGGCTCACCGCCCTCGGTCAGATCCTTCCAGGCGGGACAAGACAAACTCAATAGTGGTGCTGCAAGCGTGTCGGTCACTAGCCTAATCGGGACTTCGAGTGTGGAAAGGAGTCCAGAGAGCGAATTAGGTAAGAAAGTCTTGAGCACCTGTAGTACGAAGCAGAGCAGGTTGTTGTTCTCCAATAAAGTCGTGAGGTTTACCACGCCGTTGGTAATGTCACTGAGATCGACGCCAGTGAATGAGTTCACCTTGCCAGTGTTGCCGCCAATGCTGTAGCCAAATGTTAGGTACTGAGAATAGACGTGCAGAGCGAAATATCATATGCACATACCTGCCGAGAACGGGATGTTTCAAGACCCAGTTGACAATGTCCAAGTTAAGTGGGACCAAACCATATTCGGTTGTCCTGCGGTACCAGTTGTTGGGAATAGTCTCGTGCCCCTTGCGGTACTCGAAAGTTCCATTGTCCTTCTTGAAAACACCAAAGAAGCTTCGGAAAACCTCTTGGGTCAGAATGCCATCGGGATGCTCGGCTGTGTGATTGGATAGAATGCGGCCCAGGAAGAAGTAACCGGCGTTGCGACTGACCATGCCACTGACAGGACCATAGTAGAAGTATGGGTTGGTTGCGACGCTATTCGCCCAGCGACGAGCGGCTTGATCAGCGAGTAGATCCATGGAGAGCACACCATTTTTGTCGGCACGGTTGTGGAAGTCCATGAACAAGGTCATATTCATGGTCGCGGCGTCGCCCGTGACATAAAGATCATTGCGTGTGAGCGACGAATCCGACTCGATCCAGTTATGCGAACCCGCAAGACCTCGAGGTTTCCCTAGTAACGCCAAAAGTGTGAGTGCCTGTTATTACATGTGTGCTTTGGAGATACGACGACATACCCAAAAGTCCAACTAGGTTGCCCAAGAGGTTTTGCCCTACGAGTCCAGTGGGTGGACCTCCAATGGAGAAACCTGGATTCAGCGACAGTGGGTTGCCAGTCCAGACAGTTCCCATAATACCGAGAATGAGGGAGAGTTCTAAACCCATACCCATGACTATAATATCAAAAAATTAGAAATTATTCCATCCCCTGGTTATATGCGATTGGCGAAACGCACCTTGGTTGATGGCTGTGACAACTTCTGCAAAACTAGTGATACCAGTGCGAGAAATGTAGCCATGATTTGCCAGGGCATTCAGTCCAGGACAGGGACCGCGCTGGTCGGTGGACTTTGGAGCCTGAAACGCATGTTTTCCAGAGACATCAATGGGTTTGGTGATGTCGATGATGAACCTCTTCTCCTTTTGGTAGTCCTCCACTGACCGGATTGCTGCATTCAGCTTCTCCGGCGTTAGGCCATGCAGGTGGCGGTGTTCGAGAGAAGGAAAAGCGTTGACGACACTTTGCCCCAGCGAAAGAGTGAGAAGAGCAAGTGAGAATTTCATAATGAACGACTAGAGTTGGTAAAGAAATCACTTGAACGAGTGTTTGGGAATTTAGAAATAATCAGAAATGAATGCCTGACTCTTACTCGCTATCAGCCAGTGAGAAATGGGCAATTAGTATTTCGACGTCAGACCTCCAAGGATGCCCGGTGGAGAATGATCTTTGGGGCGTTATGCGAGCGGCGGGATCCGGATACATAAAATCCGCTAGGTACCTACTCAGTATCTCATCAGCGGGCTCGGTGTGTCGGTGTGACTTTGCGACCAAAGCAGTAAATCGCATGGCTGGGCAGGAAATGAATGGGGGCGAATCCTCATTTCCACAGGTCCCAAGACTGTGGGGAAACCGTTGAGTAGTCTTATGCACGAAGAGGATACCTTTGGGTCTCGGGCCGTTTCCTTTTGGGACATAGCCTGTGGGTGTTTTCTGAAAACAAGGAAGATCAACAGCTGCGCCGCCGTGAAATAAAGCAATGCCTACGGTCTCGGCTGGAATTGCATGTTCGTAAGACGGAACCAATTTGCTGATTTCCTGCAAGAAACGTGTAGAGAAAGATCGACAGTGGTAGCCCACTAGAAAGGTACAAGCATCAGTTAAACGGCCCGTTTATCGACAGCTAGTCAGCCCCACCAAACCTGTGCTGT